TTCTAGATCTGAAAGAGAATCAGATGTGAGCATGACATCATCAATGTAATGGTACAGCTGGACCATTGGCAGTTTCTCCCATGTAGCCAAGTCCTGGGCTACAAGTCCATGACAGATGGTGGGGCCGTGGAGGTATCCCTGTGGAAGGATGGTGAAAGTCCATTGCCATTCTTCCCATGTGAAGGCAAACTGTTCCTGACTTTCCTGCTCAATGTCAATGGAAAAGAAGACATTAGCAAGATCTACCACATAATGATATGTTCCTAGTTCATGGTTGAGGGTATCCATCAGGCCTGCAATACAGGGGCACAGTAGCATGCATAGGGGGTATGACTTTATTCAGTTCTCTATAATCCAGTCATATGCCAGAAGTCATCTGGCTTTTTTACTGGCTACACTGGGGAATTGAAAGGACTATAGATGGGCTTTATAATACCCACATTTTCCAGCTCCTGGAGAATTTCTCCAATCTCTTTATGACCTCCAGGCAGTTTGTATTGTTTGGTATTAGTCACCCACTGAGGCACAGGCAAAGCGATGGGCAGGTGCCTAGCATGTCCCCTCAGAACTGCCTTCACCATGCATACTCTCAGTCTGAACTCACCTGCAGTGGTCTGCAACCATAGACCCTGCAGGATATCAATCCCCAAAATATACTCAGGGATAGGAGATATATACACGTATACTCTTTTGGGGGTAGATGCCCTATTACCAAAGGGATTTGTACTTTTTTCACTCTGATAGCTTTACCCCATATCCATCTATGATAGTGGGGGTCGCGGGGAACTGCTCAGGGTTACCATGAATCAGTGAACATTCAGCCCCAGTGTCCACCAGAGCCAGGTCGGGTTGTGTGTTCACTGGAGACCAATGGATAGCTATTTCAGCATGTGGCCTACAGTCACCCCTGGTCCCTCAAGGCAGATACCTTGACATTCCCCTCTGTCAAACTGTGTTCCCCAATCATCTTCCTGTGTGGGTTCATGTGAGATTGGCTCGCTCTCCTGCAGGAAGTCTTACAAACAAACAGGCTGGACTTGTGGCTCTGTAGCTGACCTTTGTCTCTTTGGTCTTAATGGATGGAACTGCTGCTCTGGTTTCAGTTGTTGCCATAGCTCTAGTAAGATCCTATTTGACTTCCCATCTAATTTCCTTTCATCTCCTCCTACCCATATTAAGCCAACCCACATCTGGGTCCTCATAACCTTCATGGTCCCTTTACATTCTTCTTGTGAGTAACAGACCTTATTTCTTTGCGTATTCTCATTGCTTGAGCCTTTCCTAAGTCTGCTACTGTATGTGCCACCCTGATTATGGGATGTCCTATGTGAGGGGAAAGAATGGCCACTAGAGACCCAAAGAGGGATGTGGTAGCCATTTGATGCACAATGTTTCTCATCCCAGTAGTGAAAATCTCTTCATCTGGGTTATAATTCTCTGGACTATAGATGGCATTTCTTATGCCTAGCTCTCGTAACACCTGTTGGAGCTCAGTATATGTCTGCCATCTAACAGGAGAGGATGGCAGATCCCCCAGATTGGGCCACACAGCACGAAGTGCAGCCATTAGCCAATCGAGGAGGGAGTGACTCCCTGGGGTCTGATGTGTATTTCATAATCGCTGCCTCAATGCAGGCTGCACTGTCAGGGAAGACAGGTTTCCCATCTCTGATCCTGACAGAACAATTTCATCCACCCCTAAGTCCCACAGATGCAGGAGCCAAGCTTATATTGACTCCGAGGGCTTCTGCCTAAACCAGAAGCCTAAATCCACCAGCTCAGCCTGAGTATAGGCGTGGACCATAGAGTGCTCCACAACCTGGGGAGGGGGCTGCTCCTCTCCTTGGGGAACTTTCTGCTGCTGAGTGGTTTTTTTTGTTTAAAACCACTGGGCTTGCTTTCAATACAGGAGGGGCCAGTGCCTCCAGCACCACCCCTTCATCCTTCCCCAGCTCCTCCATTTCTGGGGCTGTTGGCACCTTTTTGTCCCCTCCCCCTAGTGCCTCTTCTGCTACAACCTTTACCTTTTCTACTGTGCCTGGCGGCAATGCTACCTCAGTCTTCAGAAGCTCTCTTACCTTCACCTCAATGCTTTGCAACTGATGTTCTCATGCCACCTCCACCTGTGCTTCCCTCAGGAGTCCCTTTTTCCTTGATGGCCTCTTGCTCCTTCAGAAGACCTGGCAGCACTTCCATCTCGTTCTATAAAGAATTGTTTACTTCTCCAATGGTATCTTGCTGCTGGCATTCTCATGCTCCCTCCTCTCGCATCAATGCAATTTCCTTCTTCAGGGAATCCACAGAAGTTTGCAGCTCACATTCTCATGCTGCCATTTCTTGGGTCTCTTCTGTAGACGTTTTTAATACTGTGAGAAGCAGCCAACCCACAGTCCCCACTGCCTCATGGGCACTCTGCTTCTCAAAGTATCTACTTACTATACAAAGGGTCACCCCTATAGCCTCAGGGTTCACCTCCACTTGCCTCCAGCCCTGGGGGTGCCCAGTCCTCTAGGAGGCAAGCCACCTCAGACCACATACCCATTGGGGGACAATCCACTGTCTCCCCATTTACAGGGGCAGCCCACTGCAGCACCCTTCCATAAGGGCAGCCTGTCTTTTTCCTTGGTCAACCATGAACTGTGCCGACTTTCGCCAATTGTCTTGCTAATGGGCTTCAGCCCCAGGCAAGTTCACTATGGATTCAATGTGACCAAAGTAATTGACAGCAAAACGTTCTTTGGGGTGCAAGGGTTTATTACCTGGCTTGTTCTCCTGGCGGTAGGTTGATCACTAGTGTCTCTAGCCTCACTCAGAGCACTGGGCTAAGCTCTCTATATAGCACAATTAATAGCTTATTGCCTAAAGGTGTAGAAGCAGTAGCCTAACAACAGGCCAGTTACATCATCAGGTGGTTTGAGTTCAGTGAGGATCCTGGCCATAGGAACCCCAGCTTCCCCACAGGTATTCAGTACAATATTATTCTAGAAAAATATATTTCTTTTAGTCATTTTGGGGGAAAATATTAGGAGCTTTAATTCTATGAATTTAAAAGATATTTGCCATGACCTCTGTATCAGTCTAGAAGATGAAGGGATATTCATCAAATTTATTGTACCAATCATATTATTTATGGAGACCGAGTCTATTGTAGCCATTTTTACTACAAACTTTGGTGTCTGAAAAGTTCAAATTCCTGAACAAATTTTTGAGTCAGTGTTCTCACCTGCACTGTAGAGGTAAGATTTAGATGTATCTCATAGGATTATTAAGATAATTAAAAGAGGTAATACGTGTAACCTGTACTTAATACACTGTACTTAACATATAATAAGTGTTCAATTAAGGGAGTTTTATAGCCTCTTATGAAAAAAGTCTAACTTTTTTAGCATAATTCCCTAACCATGATTTAGAACCTAGACATCAGAATTGCAAAATAGGCAGCCCTTTGCAATTTGAAGTGGGAAAAACAGAGAAAACGCCTTGATCTAGATTCTCAATGAAAGGGCACAGTTAATCTGCATTTGGCCTACACTTTCCTTTGCCTTTCAATCCCAGTGGTTATGTAGTCAAGTGAGGTAGAAAGTGAATGATGGGGCAGAAGAAAGTTCCCCAACCATGAAGTAGCATTCAGAAATCATTATTTTCTCTGTGCAGAGGAGAAAGTTTTAGCATTATTTTTAGTGGCTTACATATCACAGTTTATAAATTGATTTTATAAGATTAAAAAAATGCATTTCCCCCACCTCCAGATTGGCCTTGAAAATACAGAGTGGGTATAACTACAGTAGAAGCCACTTCACCTAAGTTTACCACAGCTACAAGTAACTTGCCCTGGCCAGCTGCTAAAGCAGTTGCTTATTGGCAGGGGGTGGAAATTCGGGTTTGGGTCATCCTCAGCTAAGGTGAAGCAGATGCCCAGCGGCTGTCTAAAGCTACTGCTCAGCAGCCACAATGAGGGTGAACCAACAGAGCAAACAAAGGGCAAAACTTGGAGTTCTCTGCATGACAATCTAAGATGTCAATCTCTAAATCAGGTCAGAAAACCCTCTGAACTCTCACAAGGTTTTCCTTGAAAAGACTCCCAAGTATTTGTTCCAGAGATCTAAGGGCAGGCAGAGAGGGCAGCATCTGCAGCTGACAAGGACCTATTATTATTCAAGGGGTGCTAAGGGCCTATTCTGACCACTTTGGGCACCAGAATGTTAATTGCAATTATCCTTTTAGAAACCTGTTTCTTAATATCTGATCATCTTCTTCACAAAGACAAGACAAATTATATTTGTGTGAGTCTAGGTCCTTTGAAAGCCTACTTTTATTTTCCTCCACTAATTCTGAAATCATCTCCCCACCCAAACAGCAAGTCAGTATTTCCCAGTAAGAAAGGATCCTGTGCTGCCAGACTTAGATCCCAATTCTGCACTTACAAGTCATGTGACATTGGGAGAGTTGCCTTGGTTTAAAAGTAAAGTGAATATAATAACAATGCCTACTTCAGAGGGTTATTGTGACAATATATATAATTTATTTGACAAAGTGACAAAGTGCCTGGTCCATATAACTCTGCTAATAAACGTTGGCTCTTTCATTAAATTATTTTTTTCACTTGATCCTATCCAGATCCCCTCTTCTGTCAACCTGCGTCATCCCTTGTCCTTTATCTGAATCCTACTGCAGTCCACATCGGTTACAAACAGCAGAGAACCCTATCTTTGTGCACAATCCCTCAAAAGGTAGGGTCTTCATTAACTCTTTCTACCACTCTGGCCATTTTCATCCCCATTAGCTAATGCACAGATTCACATACTGCTGGAACTTAAGGTGGTGATGTGGCTCCCCTCTAATCAGCACTCTGGAAAAAAAAAAAGCCTGCTGCTATCCAGAAAAACTTTTTCTGTCAATCTTAACTCCAGGCTAAATGGAAAAAGGAGTTCTATAGTCTGTCCTTGGCTGCATGCCACCAAAAAGCATTCATCCATTACTAAATTAAAAATGACTTCACGGTGCTCACTTCAGCAGCATATATACTATAATTGTAATGATTCAGAGAAGATTACATGGCATCTGCACAAGGATGGCACACTGATTCATGAATCATTTCATAATTTTGAAACAGGCACTTTCATATATTGTGCTAAAAGTGAAAATAGTAAGACACCTGTAATGGTGAATCCAGCAATATCTTCCAAAATTAAAAAATATATATACCTTTCGATCCAGAAATCCCAAGTCTAGAAATGTATCCTTTAGATATACTTTCACAGATATGAAATGATGTATTTACAAGGTTTTTCACCAGGCATCATTTATGATTGCCAAGGATTTGAAAAATATAAAAATCTATCAAATGAGGACTGTTTAGATAAACTCTGTTACATGCAAACAATGGATTATAATGCAGACAGAAAAAATGAGAGTGGTCTCTATGCATTGATATAGAAAAATATCCAAAATATACAATGGAAAATAGTGTTTCAAGGTATGGAACAATGGTACATCTTAGGCTAACTTTTGTATAAGAAAGGGAGCGTGAGAGTATATATTCACATTTGCTTGTATTTACATAAAGAAACAAACAAAAATGATTACTGATAGCAGGGATAGAAAATTACAGCTTGCGTCTATTTTATAAATAAAGTTTTTTTGGAACACAGCCATAGCATTTGTTTCTCTATTATGTATGGCTGCTTTTGCACTGCAGTGATAGAATTGAGTAATTACAACCCAGACTACATGGCCTGCAAGCCTAAAATATTTATTACTTGGCCCTTTACAGAGAAAGCTTGCCAACTCCTGACCTATAAGGTAGGGAGAATTGATAGGGACAGGGATGGAAGCAAGACTTCTCAGTGTACACACTTTTCATGGCTTTGGTTTTTGAATTTATGAATGAATGTACTGTTCTTTTCTAAAAATTAAATAAAAACAAAATCAATGAAATCTTATTTGGATCTTCTGGGTAGAAAACAGATAACAATAAACCCAGAGCAGGGATTTATGTTTATGCTTGAAGTAGACCTATTTGTTTCTTAACAAATGTTTGTAAAATTTAAACTGATTAACTTATAAAATTCATTTTTAAATGAAAAAATCAAGATTATGGTTACTTCCTGTGTTAATTTAAAAAATCACCCACACATACAGTATCTGAAGTGTTTCTCTTTGGCTACTTCATACATATGTATGAAGCCTAGTAAGTGCCAGGCAAAGCAGGTGGTAAGAATTATAACTGTTGATATTATGATTAGGCACTTTTAATCTAATATATATTGAGTTCTCATTATGTGTCACCTACTGTTTTTAGTGCTTTACATACATTGCCTAATTTAATTCTCATAACTTCCTAAATTTACAACTTGAGCCCAGTCCTCTTTCCTGACCTCCAGACTAATACAGCCAATTGCCTACTCAGCTTTTCCACTTGGATGTCTAATCTCAAACTCTATTCCCCTAAAACTGAACAGTTGATCTTTCTCTACACACATACACACTGCTCCATCCCAACTTTCTCTATCTGACTGGATAGTAATTCCATCTTTCCAGTTTCACAGGCTGAAACATTCAGTCTTCTTTAGCCTGTCTCTTCCTCTCTCATGGTATATCTTACCTTCCATCTATAAAATTTCTAGAATCTGACAACTTCTCACCATAACCATGACTACTACCCGTTCTGATGTTCTGGACCACTGCCATCTCTCACCTGGATTACTGCAATAGCCTCCTCACTGATTTCCTTGTTTCTCCTTTTGCCCCTTTATAGTCTTTTCCAACATAGCAGCTGGAATTATTCTCTTAAATATAAGGTTGATCATGTTACTTTTCTTCTCAGTACTTTTCTTCTTAGTACCTACAATGGCTTCCTTTTACATTCCCAGTAAAGGCCATTGTCCAAGCTTTATTCATCTGAGGCCTACTCTGACCATCCTATTTAAAAGAAAAATACTGCCCTGCCAGCTCCCACCCTAGCACTATCCAGCCCCTTGCCCCATTCTATAATTTACTTTTCCATGTCATTTTTGTCTTCTAACACTGTTCATTTATGTTTTTGTGTTTATTATCTGTCCATGTGGAAAAAAGTAGACTCAAGTATTTGTTGAATTATAAACAATTTCTTGGGCTGTAGGTATTATTTCTTCCCCTACTGTACAGAAGAGAAAACAGAGGTTCACACAGGTTAACTGATTTGCCCCAGAGCCAGAAAATTCATCAAGGGCAGGGCAGGGAAGTAAATGCAGGTCCCTCATCCTCGAAAGTGCATAGTCTTAACCACCCAACAAATTCATGTAATTTATAATATAGTGCAAGTCATGCTAACCTCTGTTTCTGTTGCTCAGGCACAAAGGCAGTTGCAAAGCAGGATCAGCATTTGTCATGGAACTTGAATATAGCTCTCCAGAGAATAAAGCAAGCAAGGTGGAAAAGCACATGGGAGATGAAATTGTGCCATTCAGGTTGACAGTTTCTGATATAGTCTTATCTGGATAATGGGAGAAAGGCATACTTGAAGAGTTTCCATCAACCTACATTTTCTTCTTCACTTACTCTGCACAATCGTGTTAATGATACTTAGGCCAAGTCAAATAAAACATTTCCAACTGCCTGAGTTACAGAGTAATTTCATGAGTAAATATCCATTAACAGTTCATGTCAAGGCATGGTGGGAGTATTGAGGCAGAGTCCTTTGGCCAAAGAAGTCCTGGAGGTGGAAACCTTTGTTAAAATGTGAATTGAGACTAAGCCTTCAGCACCTCCCCTTCAGGTGGGCTCCAACTTCTAAAGCAGCCTAAGGGGCAGAAAGTGTACTAAAATAATTCACAATGTTTCCACAGAATTACTGTGACCTGGTAATTTTGTTCTTTTACATATGCCTACTAACTGTTTTATTTTGCCTAGTGAAAACATTAGAGGATAGCAGTACTCAGAATACGCTTATAGTGCAGCTTCTCCTGGGATAGGGGGCTGGCGGATTCTAGGGGAATTTGCCCTTCATAGTTCCTTGTAATTTGCCATTACCTGTTCAATGCTCAGTGGGAGTAAACTAGGCCAGAGTCTTTTAAACTGGTTCTTAGTGCCCCTGGGGAGCTTACTAAATTCCTCATGTTATTTTACAGGTGACCTTAAGACTATCGATGCTTTTATAAAAGTGCTGATATTTCTAATAATAACTTTTTGTGATTGCTGATATTGTATCCAGTGTTCCCCTCATCTCAACATTAAAGTCTTTTTCTTTCATCTGGAGTGGAAGCAATAGAAAATAGTGAATTAGAAAACTGATTCTAGAGACAGAATGCCTGGATTGAAATCCTGACTGAGTTTTTGGGCTTATTTGTTAACCTCATTAATTTCTTCACTCATTGGTAAATTGAGCTATTTTGAGGGTTCAGTGAGATTATGTATGTACAATTGACCCTTGATCAATGTGAATTTGAACTGTGCAGGTCCACTTATATGTGGATTTTCTTCAATAAGTGTATTGGAAAACCTTTTGGAGATTTGTGACAATTTGAAAAATCATTTTCTTTTCTCTAGCTTTATTTTAAGACTATGGTATATAATACATATACAAAATATGTGTCAATTGACTATTTATGTTATTAGTAAGGCTTCCAGTCAACAGTAGACTACTAGTAGTTGAGTTTTCTGGGAGTCAAAAGTTATATGCAGATTTCTAACTGGGTGTGTTTATGGGGGAGAGGTCAATGTCCCTAACACCCGTGTTGTACAAGGGTCAACTGTAAAATGTTTAGTATGATACTGACATATAGTGTTATTTTAAAATGCTCCCAAGTATAAGACTGTAATGGACGTAGATGAGAGGAAATAACCTGGAGTCAGGAGGCCTGGTTCTAGAATCCCAACTTTGCCATGGATCACTTTGCAACTTCAAATTAAGCAACTTAATTTCCCTCCATGGGTTTCTTTCATCATACATTTCATATAGCTTCTTTTGTATTGTTTTTAATGTTTATGCAACATTTAATTTAATTACTTAAATATAATAACCACTATTGTCATAAAAATGCTTAAAATAAACACAACTTACTTAGGGTAAGCATGAAACTCACCTGGTAGAAGCAGATATGTGGCCAGGTATTCACTGTGTGTTTCTATATTATAGAGAGTGAAGACTGTTGCTTATCTTATGAGTCAGTTAAGTGGAGTTTTGGTTAAGAAAGCATCTATGTTTAAGGGAGGTATGTGTTTGTGTGTGTATATGTTAGTATACGCAGAGAAACTTTCTGGCTGAATATTCAAGAAACTGTGACCAACAGTCGCCTTTGAGGACAATGACTGAGTATGATCTGGGTGAGAGAATGACATCCCATTGTATTGTTTGAATTTTTTTGCCATGTGCCTATATCACTCCTTTCATTAAAAATAGTTTCAGTAAGTATCTGTAAAAAAAACAAAATGAGAGAACTGAGCTAAAAAAATCTCTAAAGTTTTTTCCAGTTCTAACATTGAATAATGTTTTATAATGTTCTATAATGAGGATCAATCCAGAAATGAAGTTATAATAAAAGTTTTCAATTCTAGGCCTAAAATGCATTCTACTTCATGAGGAATACTGTGAAAAGAAATCCAGAGTTTTATTATAATACAAATATGATATATTCCTAATTTTCCTCCCTTAATATTTGCTTTCTTTTTGCAGATTACATCGTTCCCCCTGAAATGGCTCATTGGTTACAAACCAGCATGGATTTTGTTTCATGATAATTTGCTTCATAAAGAGATGCATAATGGAACTTTACCACTCATAGTTCAATACAGTTTTCTCTTTAATATAAAGTTTATTTCACTCCAAAAAGGTACAAATCTTTGAATTAGAAAACTAGAGGTATTATGCTAAGTGAAATAAGCCAGGCAGAAAAAGACAAATACCATATGATTTTACTAATATATGGGATCTACAAAACAAAACAAAACAAAATGAACAAAATAGCAGTTGACTCATAGATGCTGAGAAGTGACTGGTGGTTATCATGGGGGATGAGTTGGGGTGGGTATGTGGGGAAGGGGAGGAGGATAAAAGGGACAAAATTGCTCAATCATGTAATTGATCATGGGGATGGAAGAGCAGTATAGAGAATACAGGCAATGGTTCT